TTCTTACTGCTCGGGGGAGTTGCACTGATCGCCCTATATGTGACGTGTAACAGCCTCAACTGCTTGGCGGTGTCGGTGACTTACTGGGCTCCGGTATGGACGGGGTGTGTGGTGAGTATTCCACTCTCCCATAAAAAGAAAATAACAATTTTGCAACATAATACTCCTTCCTGATGTTAACGGGTATCTTCATTGTAGGTAATGTCTTTTTGAGAAGAATGATTGCACAGACAGGTGTATGTTTGACTTTAAGTTCATTTCTGCAAATCCCTTGCCAGTGGCATTGACCAATTTGAGCTGTATACAATTAACAGTGCGCACTCTCAGCAATTCGTATCTACGCATGATCGTGTCAGCCCCCGGGCCTCCCTGTCAAATCAGCTCACCCTCGGTTCAGACGATCCAAAGCGACATCTCAACTGAACATCAAAACACTGGCAACGACCAAATCATGCAACTCCACCTTATCAGCAACCACTCCTATCCGACTCGTGTCCTCGATAATCGGGTTTACACGGCTCCAAACATTGGGTTGAAATGCTGCCTGTGTGTATCTATCTCATATACAGATCGTAGTTGCCGCGCTGACAGGCATTCTCATGTCATGTATGCACCAGGAAAAGGCATGCGTAAGTATGAAAAATTTGTGTTAGAATTGAGCAGTGCTCTGATTAGTTAGTATCAAGGATCTGTTAAAATACGAGAGTACTGTTGAATGAATATTGAAATGACATTTCCTTTTGTTGAATCAGCCACTATCCATTAATAATGACCAATAAAGTCCCACAAATTTTCTGAAAATCTCACTGGAAAGTGTTAGTCGATCCATGGTGTGTTTTATTCCTCCATGGTTGATCAATTGAGGGTGCTGACCTTGCGAGTGCATTGAGATAAACGAAATCGGTAACATATTCTGTTTTAGAGCAAGTGTTAAGTATACACCGTGCGGTAAGGTATACACTGTGGGTTTAGAATGCGGTCTTAGTGTTACCGTTTGGTCACAATTCACGACGAGGATTTCAAACCCAATTTTCTTTATTTTGACTTTTAAACTGTCTGATGGTTTGGGCCCAGACTGCATGTTTGGACTTAGTGTTTGAATTGGTTTGATGCGTAAAGGGCCCTGAAGGTTTTGAACTCTACCATTTTTTTCTTTCCAGACTCGAAACGATTCATTTCAAAGTGGTTGTTTTCCACTCCGAAATCGATTAAAGTTCCTGTCCATGTTCTCAGTCGGCCTGATCATAATCAAAGCACCAGGCACACAAAAGTGCACGCATAACTCCAGGAAGGCATTTTCACTGTCAGTGGAAATCACTTTACATGGCCTTTTAACCCTTACCTTCAACAGCAAGCATTTAACAATAGGCCATTTCTACCTATGAATTCATCGATATTTTTTGAAGCGTAGTACGACTTCCTAGTTACATGGAAGCCCGCACCCATGTTTTTGCATCGGTGTTTATGCTGGGACTGAGAAATCTTGATAAAAAATTACGCTAGTTCATTAAATCCAGATTTTAATGAAAAAGGACAGTTATTTGAAATGAGAACAACAGAAACCAAATACAAAGTCAAAAAACGTAAAACCACCCAGCCAGCATTCGAAAATGTCAGCGATGAGATTTGGTTGAAAACTACGAGTGGTAAGAATCAAATAAACTGGTGGAGTTTTGTTAGGAGTAGATCTTTTTCGCGTGATAGAAGCTGTTTTTGTTCTCATTCCCTGGATCTGTTGTGTCAGTCACAGAGGCAACAGATTTTTTTTTAAATTAAGGCATTAATTCCGAGCCCCCTTTTTCAATATTTTTACTCATTCTTGCAATGGTAGTACAATGGTAGTTTACTGTGGTAGTTTAGTCTACTCAATGGTAGGTTTTTGCACGTTTCATCACTGTGTGAAATTATGCATGATAGTCGGAAGATACTTTAGTTTACCATTCAAAGTCACTACGTTTGCTTTCCTTTCTACCCTCAACTTTCCAAAATGAAGAGTTATAACCTTGCTTTGAGAACC